AAAGCATTTTCAGAAGCGCATTAACGGTACCAATTTCGCACGAGAACGATCCTCAAAGTTTGAACCGGAACGCGGCATAAAAGTAGGTACCGCTTCGACGCGTCTGACCAAGCGTCGACTCGTACCACTGAACGGGATTTCTCGTCGTCTGGCGCGCTTAACGGCCCGGGGAACAAGGAGACGGCATTCCTGGCTAGGTAAAACGCGAAATGGTTTACTCGTGACCCGCGTGCACCGGACATTGCTATGTTAAAACCAATTTCCATCGTCTGCATTACCGCCGGTAATGGGAAAACTCCGTTAACCCACACCCCCGGATTCGTTGCAAACGAAATTACCAATAACTCGATTCTGATTCCACTGCAATTTATGTTCTGACCATAAAATCTTTCGACTTCACGCGCATTTGTCATATCATCTATAAAGATGAATCGCACGATCGGTTCGTTACTCTTATCGCGACGACGACTCGTCGTTTGCGGTTAAAATAACAGGAATTTGAGGAGAACGTGCGTTTATCGAACTGACTGCGTTTCATTCCGGTGACGGGTTTCGAATGAGAAATGTGTACGCGTCGCCTTTTGTCTTTGTACGTTCTTCGAGATATTTCATCCGGGCCGAAAGAGGCTTTGGGAAATGTATTCGCTGTCGGATTCTGGAACGAACGCTCGTCTTTGGCTTTGCCAGCCATGCGGAATACGTTAGAGCCGAGTCCAATATGTGACGCGACGATAACGGAAACTGTTTCGGGCCTCTCCTTCGATCAACCAACGACGTCGGTATTACCTGTGACACCTTCGATTAGACCGTAGCTCATTTTCCGCGAAATAACGTTCGTGGTGTCGGTTTAAGAAACGTATTACAGGTGAATCTACAGAGTCGGAGTTTGTCCCTGATAAAAATGAATACGACCGTTTCGGTAGAAGAACTGCGGCGCAGAAAATTTCCAGCGCATCGATTCGGGGGTGGAGCGAGCTTCCAAGACGTTTAGAATGAGATTTACGCGGCGTACAAAGAGAGGAAGAGAGAGGGAACGTTCTTTCAGGCTCGGAACATTAAGTACAATAGCTTTCCTCCATTCTTTCCTACGGAATCATCCCGCGAGGTCAACAAGAGATTACTCGTAGCACAGGAATCGAATGTCGAGCAAAGACGAACCGGTACATACAGTAGTAGTCTCTGATAAGGACACGAGCACACGATTTTTTTCTAGCCGAATCATGTAAATAAGTGATACGCGATAAATCGTATATTACAACGGATTGAAATTCGTCGTAGTTATTCGTGTACAAGCTTACAATATTTATAGGGAAACATGAACGATACGCATTATAGAATGCTGAAGAGCGATGGTGAATGTTTAACAGCACTTTTTCTTGATTATCATGGAAATCGAATTCAACACGGCAAAGTTGCGTTACACGTTTGCACATTTTGCAACGCCATAAATTATTCCTCGCAAATTACTAGACGAAGGGAGAGAGAGGATGTTAAATGGGGACTTTTACGACGACGCTTCGTATCAGATATCGACATTAGCGGCACATCTCGCAAACAGGCGACACGGAGGGCTGTTCACTCGCGAGAACTCGCCTAAATATTGATTGTTCTAACAAACGGTGCTTTGCGCCCGAGAAACGGCGACGTTTTCGAATAAACAAACCACGTAGCCGTCGGTTTCCAGCTTTGTAGTAATTAGAATCTATTATCGCTGCATATTGATTGCTAAAATTAACGTTATTCGCTCCGCGTATATTAATCACGTAACGTCGACGATTTGAAGTTTATGACGCGGACTGGTCGTCGATAGATGAAATAAATGGGCGAATTGAACGACGGCGTAATTAATAAAGAGGACGTACACGGAAAAAGTATACGAGAACTTGTTAACGTTTTGTCAATTATATCGAAAAGGCCTATAAAATTGAATATAGAGAATGAAATGCTCTTCCCTCATAACTGAAAGTAATTTATTTTAATATCCCTTCGGCACTGACGAACGATGATCGAGTCATGCCTGAGAACTACCGCCGCGTAATTAATACAATATTCTTCTAGACCGCTAACTCGATAAACTGTGTCGGTTCTCGTTCGCTCGGAAGTCTATAAAATACCTTATGTCGTATTATTTACAATAACTGTTGTTCGAAACCTGCACCTCGTTTTAGATTTAAACTTCTAGCAATCTAATTACTAAAATGAATATTCCGTAACGAAAACTGGACTGCGAGACGTGTAATTCTTTTCGGTATAAATTTTTCTCTTTTTTGCCTTCTTTCTCTGAGAGGAAACACTGGCAGTGATTAAGAGTAGCTCGAGCCAGTTTCGCTTTCCCATTGTTCGCCACATTTTTCACTGATAAACGGTTCATTAGCATCGATTTCGACCATCGGAAAGTGTACGCCACCGTGGCTTCAATATTAAGCGGCAGGAACACTCGAGCACGGGAATTTTTGATCGCGAGCACGAGCTTCCCTTCGTTTATCGTTCCTCGTTAAGTAGAAAATATCCACCGCCGACTGATACTTAATACTTCACCAGGCGCAATAATGAAATATTCAGCGAGCGGTGAAAACTTCTTAAACCTACTGCCCTTTTTACCAATTCAATTCCCTGTTTCTCGACATAAAATCAGCAAACGGTACAACGCAAGTTCTTTCATTAAAATTATCACGGCACGACGAATTTAACGCGTTCAGAAGAAAATTCGACGTGCAGAGAATGCAGAACGACAAACCAAACGTCAAGGGCTGACTACACGATTAAAAAAACTTTTTTCTCAATGGACGCTTCGAGGAATTTCGAATGAATTCAGTTCCTCGAAGTGGGAAGGGTTGAGTCTGCGACTCTTTCAAATAGAATCGAGATCGGAATAATTCCTCAATAAATATTCAACGGTCAGTAAATTTGCAATATTAGTCGAATCTTGGGTTTTTGTTTACTTTGAAAACTTTGCAAGACAAACTTCCCATCGGCAACATGATTGGCTTCGGTTACGCGTTTGGAAAATCAATCGATACCGTCCCAAGTTGAATCCCAACTTCCGCTCCCCAATTTCGGTAATACCCCGACTTACTACCAATTAAATTCATCCAGCTCGAGAGGTACACTTACAAAATCGACAGAACTACGACGTTTAACAATTAGCGTCCTCGCGAAACAAGATGGCAAACACGATTCATCCAAACACGTTCGCCTTTGAATTCTTCATGAAATCCCCTAATTAAGTTAATTAACCATTTCCATGGCGCACATGATCGTTCATGTTCCACGAATTAATTAATCCTGAATAATTCCCGGTTCATATTCGTTTGACCGACGCAAAGGTCGATAAATTATACATTTCATTACGCGGAACAACGATACAGAAATTACGACTAAATATCTTATTCTCTGAGCCCAAAAATTCGAATACGTTCCTTTCGTTCGGAAAATAAACGAATTGGAAGAAGCCTCAGGTACACCCTCTGTTTTAATTAAAATCCACATCGGACAAAAAGACCGTGGTGGGACGAACGAATTAAAATCTGAAAGAGGCCACGCCGTTTCGTCTCTGGGAAACCTGGAAATTAATTGGTAACCCGTGGAAACATGCAATTGGCCCCAAAGGCCGCGATTAGCATTTTCTCTTAGCCGCGGGATGCGGGAGTTTTGTTGGAACACCGAACACGTAACGTTCGCAGGTACTGAGGTACGTGATCGCACGTCGCCGACGAAGTATGCAAAGTTCGTTTCACAATTCAGACGAATTTCTGTTGGACAGATTATATCGTTAAATTACGCGAGCAATAAACAACGTCACCGCCTGAACTTCGCCTCGCGTTTTAAAAACATGCTGGGTTCTATCGAGGCCGATGTTCATCGGTGATGATAATTGGAAACGCAGCTGGGTGCCAGCAATAGGATTCTCGATATTGCTGTTTTTCGCACGACACGACCAAGTACGGAGCTCGTTAAACTGCGAACGCGTTAAGAAATAACGTGATTCCAATTTTCTGAACTTCGCCCGGGGTCCGTACAATAGACGGACGCATATTCTGCGTGGTGTTCGTCAGCCAGGATATTTTCATCAATGGCACAAGGTTATTTCGAACACAGGTGTATGTGGGGCAAGGACACAATAGGGAGAACGTTTCAAACAAAGAGCTGACCGGGTTCGGTTTATTTGAAAGCGATACGAAAATCGCGACCCCCGACCTTAAAAAAACTACGGAGAACCAAATTGCAGCGTGGAAACTCTTTCATCGATCAAGGGACGATCTGCCGCGCGCGATTGCCTTCGACACCCTTTTACTTGATCAAGTCCGTTTTATTCCCGAGAATCCAATGTCCATCCCTTTTCTTCAACGAAACGAACGAACGGTGAAGAGAAATACGCGTTGCTGATCCATAGAAATGCGGTGAAAACGTGAATCAAAAGAGCCATTGACGGAAATGGGTGCATTACGAAACGCGTCGAGTGTACGTTGCTCGTGTTCGAACATAAATGATGCATGTCGCTTCGTTAAATAACGTTGTACCCCTCAAGAATATAGTTTAATGGTCGTCTTTGTCATTGGGTCTTCTACGTTCTAGTTTCGTTCATTGACGATTCGATCACTCTAACGGTCGATCGTCGAATTTTGGCTCGGACAATAACGGGGATATCGCGTCGTTCGAATGAAATTCATCGCAATTAAACGCGACCCCTTCGCGCGAGGTTCGGGTCCATAACAATATTTCACGGGACAGCAACGAAAATTGACGTATGAACGCGGGTCGACGGAATTCCAAAATATCCAATTTTTCATCGACAATTCTCACACTTTCAACGCTCGTTGCTCCTATGCATTCGTTTCATTTACGATGCGAACTGACTCTCAGATACGTCTATGATTCGCTTCGTTCTCGAAACGTTCGTTTACCGATAAAAATAGTAATGATCCATGGTCTCGTGCCACAAACGCGTGTACAACCCCACGAAGCATCGTTCGCGACACGGCCTTCTGGCGATCACTCACCGCTTTCGCACCGACTTCCGTGGCTGTCCAGCGCTGGTCGAAGCACCCACGGGGCGAGAACTCCGTGCAACACGTTGACAACGACGCTTGTTCGTTCAAAGAAAGAAACTCGGTGCGTGTCGCGCTCGCGATGAGGAAACGAGCAAGGTCGCGATGGAATACCCACTTGTAGAGCCGGCGGATGACCGGGCGCGTAAACTAGACTGGCGGGTCGGCAAACAGGTGAGATGCCGTCGCGTGTGCCCGTCCCTCTCTCACTGTCCGTCTCCCTTCCACGATCCCCACCCGCGCAAACCCAGCCTGGTCTGTTTTCCGTCTCGTTCCGTACCGTGCGAATTCCCCTCACGACCTCCCTCGTACACCCCGTACTCCCACCCCGACCTGACGCGTATCAACCCCGGGTCCTCGCGGTTCTCCCATTCCTTCTCGGCTCTCCCATTTTTTAAACAATAATTCGGAGCGCTTCGACGTCACGTTACTTGGCAAAGCTACTTCTTCGTCCTCCACCTCGATGGAACTCGACGCGCATCAATCCCGGATTCTCTCGTCACCGTTCGTTCTATGCTCCACCTATTTACTCTCGAGCTCTTTCTTTTTTCCAACCACGATTCGTGACGCTCAGGCACTAGATTCCGTCGCAAAGCTATTTCCTTCGTCCCCTTTTGCCCGCTACTTCGACTCTCGAAATCGAGGCGACCGTTCCCGGTTCGTCGCGTCGGTCCTTCGGTGCGAGGATCCTAGCAATTCCGGTTTTTAGCTCCACCGATGTATCCTTCTCTTTTCCTACCCCCATGCTCGATTCCTTCCCCTTCTGACCCTACCCGCGGGCCATGGGGCTGCCCTCCCTACCCCCTGCAGGGGTTTACAACCGGAGGTACTTGCGTGCGCAGCATGTCCATCGATCTATTTCTGCTCACCTACGCTCTCCTGGCAAGCCTGGCCCCTGTACCTGACTGCTCGCACCCGCGCAACTTCAAAAGCTCCGTTCACACCAAACTAATGGCCTAGTCGTCTCTCACATGGATCAGTCTCTGATTCCGTGACCGAACACAGTTCTCGCTCTTGGCGTGTCTCTCGTTAAAAACGTTCCGAAGAGATCGGTGCACCGATGAGAAGCTTCGTCCTCTCGTTTTTAAATCGCGAGAAAGAGATTCTATTATACTTGATGAAAGAAACGAAGCTTCGATACGATTGCCCCGTCACAATTTCGCTGTATTTACGAATCAATAGAAATCAGTTCGAGGCACGGGATGAGCTTAAGAAATTTCGTGGCGAACAACCGAGAGGAATTCAAACAAGATTCGAGTCAATACCGGGCATCAGGGCTCCGAGGGAAACGTGAGTGCCGGCGAAGAAGAAGGAACCGAAAGTTGAATAACGCATATTTGGAGAAGCTGTTAGGACGCGTCGTTTACGTCTTACTCAGCAGGTGCTGGCAATTTTCTTCCCGATTCTACCGTGGATTCCCCTCTATTTATCTGCGATTCCCTTCCACGAAATTTCCTGCCAAGTTGACCGAAATTCTGACAGTACTTCCCGAACACCGACGTTCCCGATCTGGGATGGGCAGTCGCGCCGATTCCGATACCATCTTTTTCACCCGTGAATCTCTTTCCTGGCAATCATCGTACGTGTCCTCGTATTTTGAGAATCGGAGAGCCCGGCGCGCTGGTGGACAAAATTTCCGGTCATGGAAGTTAATTCAGAGAATATGCTCGATCACTATCTCGTTTACGTCTCATCGATTTGATTTTGGAAGGCAATCCCGACGGATAACAAAACGGTATTAGAAACGTCGAATTGGGTCAGCGTTCGAGGTCATCGATTCAGGCCGAGATTTTCGCCGTCCCTCCCGCTACTTAAATTCGTCAAGCTTCCATAGCCGCGATATAAACGTAAATACGATTCGCTGAAACGTACGCGCGGTTTATTAAATTCCCGGAGCAATCAGTGTACAAATTTCGCTGGCTAAGCCTCGGGGTAAAACCAGACGTAGTTAGAATCACGTTCAGCCTCGGCAAAGACACCGAATTACGACGCAGGATTCTATGGATCGCATTGCTACCGATTTTCGATCATCAGAGTATAGGAGCCATCGACACAAATCGCCCTGCTGTTTGTATATAGAAATCGCATCGTGCGCCGTTCGTTACGGCTCTTTGTACCGCTTTTATGTCGGCGCACAATGAAACTCGCGACTCGGAGCGTCATATTTCATTGGAACATATTTTCCCCGGCCGAGGATTAACCGTTTATCGGATACGCCAAACTCGCCTTCCACCCTCGACGCGCGCGACCGATAGTTTCGGTAAAAAGTAAACGAGATTACAGGCAAATTACGGAAATTAACGAACGCGAGCACGACACCGATCAAACACATTTCGGGGGGATCGCATTAATCAAATAGAGGAAAATATTAATTGCACGCGAAACACCACTGTGTATGCAATAATGGTATTGTAGAAAATACCATACATCGTATTACACTGAATATCGCATTAATCATCAGGCCGATTATCCTATGAAATATTAAATTCGTTTCTATTATATTTACGGTCGACGATGTACGATGCAAATGGCATAGAATATTAATTACATTGAACAGTATCGCGCGGCAGAGGAGACGATAAAAAATTGGTATCGTACGATATTCTATGTAAATTTAATACAATTTCTTATTACTCTTTCCTGTCTCGTATCTCCCTGTATTTTAAACAGGATTTTTGTAGAACACTGCGTATGCTGGTACACGTTAAGCGCGTTTAAACGGCGATTAAAGCGCGACCTGTTAATGAAAACGAATTTATCGATTCTCCGTGTCTCACGAAACAAATGACGATGGCTGTTGAACGTATGCGGGCGTTCGCAGCCTGGCAAATCCATGTTCGACGACCGTTTCAATTATTATCTCCGGAGAGGTCAGATCCCGGTTTCTATTTGTACTCCGTTTCGACGTGGAAAATAAATAAAGAATTCTGGTCTGAATTCGCTGACAAATATTAACAGTTAGTGCCTCGAATATGAAAAATCGATAGTGCATTTAAAAAGTCTGTCTTCCAGATAAATATTGATAAATAAATAGCGATGGGATATCAAACTCGAATTCAATGATTTTAATAAAACTATTTCATGCCGATAATTAAGAAGGCGAAGGATGCGTCACTCTTGTTGGACGTCGTTCCATTTTCGCGTCCGAACGTAATATCGTGAGAAAACATCAACTTGAAAGGAAACAGACCGTCTATTATAGAGACAGCAATATTATAGTTCCAGATCTCCTGCGAACATTTCAAGAGCCTAACAGGCGTCTCTGTCGTAATATACGAGGGTGTACAACGTACTACAAATCTGTGTTCGCAGCGTATAGTTGCGTTTTTGAAATTTTCTGAATGAGATCCTTCACGGTTTCAATTGCCAAACGAAAACTTGAACAATGACAGACTTGAATAGTAATTATTCAGAGGAGGTTGGACAAATGAGTCGAGAGTTGAAAATACAAATATCGAAGACACGCTCCGAGGTAGCGAAATGTTTGATAAAATCTGATTGAAAACGATTATGAGTCTACGAACTAGACAAATATGTTTTCTAAAACGAAACTGAATAGAATTAGTTAATGGTTTCGTTAGAACCAAAGAAGTTTTGAGACAGACAGTGTAACGAGTAGAATTTTCAAGTCGAGAGACGCCCGGCCATTAACGCCGATTGTGGGGAAGCGTAGTTGGACGAAGGAGTAGCGACCGTTCATCGACAATCAAGTCCGACGGGATACTCGGATGCTTCTCACAGCTCCGGTGCGATCCACTTTCAATCCCCGCCCTTCTCCATTGATCTTGATACTTGTCACGGGGCTTCTTTCTAGATCCATGCATTACAATTATATGAAACACGGTGACGGATCAACAACTCCGAAGCGAGTCAATAAGACCAGACATGTAAAATAATCGTTTTACTTAAATTTTTGATTTGCGATCATTGGATCGCAATTCGCCCTCTATCAGAATTAGTGAACATCTTGTTATTCTCACTCGAAGACTTCGAAATGTTCTATAATACGTTCGATGACGAGCGTTCTTATACTTTCACGAGTCATCGTACATAAGTAAGGGCTCGTTAAATTTCCGCCACGTTGAGTAATTTCGATCCCTTCGTGCCTCGCTATGCGCAACATCGATCTTCCGACGCACCGTAGGAAACGTAACGTGTTTGCGTTATTTCAAAACTCACCCTTCCCCAAACACGCTTTCACAAATACAAATTGCGACAAGCAAAGAACATCTTTCATGATAAAAAATGCCCAGACGTTTCTCTTTTTTATCTCTATGAAGAAACGTTCGTCCGACGTATCAATCTGCATTTTACTTTCAGGCATAAAAAATTTATAAGAAGCGGGTAGTGAAAAACAAAGTCGTTAACCGTAATGACAAACTTTCCTGACACACGCGTGCTCGCGTTAAAGAAGTTGTCGAAGCTTAAACGGGCGAAACTTTCGCCATCGTCGCTTTTTCAGTCGCTGACACGTTCTACGGAGAGGGCTTATCTGGGACTACTGAGCGAGCTTTATCAGAATTTACTCGCTTCAAGACGGCAGATGGCTCGATATCGCGGTTAATTAAAGCAGAGAGTAGATAAAGCACCACGACTCCCTTCGGGCCATTCGCATCGCATCACGGATAACATAAAGGAAATACTATCTTTCGTATAATAATCGTGAGCCCCGATAAAACGTTTCACATAATTCTCGTTCTAATCGATGTTTCGTATCCTTCAATAATTCTATTCATCTCGTAACGATTCCGAAACGACGTCTGCTGAAACTCTTTCAATTGTCGGTCGTTCTTTTCACGTTGCCCTTATCGTTTCCATACCGGTCCGTCATTTTCGAAGACACTGGGATCCAAGACAGAAATCCATTTCCCAGGCTGTCTCTCGAAATTGAATTGGTACGCGCGTAACGCGGAAAAGAGAAGGATACAGATATGATTAAATTTTTGTCGCTCGTCGAACGAGCTCGTCGGTCACATGGAAATTGGCCTAAGATTAGATCGGGCCACGACAATGCCCGTATTGTTGATTCAGCGAGTCAGATTGCCGGTAAGTTAAATTGAATTAAATTTCTGATGAACTTCGGAGCTGCCTAGTGTCCCAGAGACGAGAGAGGAACCCTCGAGGAGCATCGCTGTTAATACGTCAAAGCGGAGAGACTGCACGTTTTTCAAACCGACTCTACTCAAACAGAAATGTTCGCCTTTACAACGGAATTTTTCGGAA